AGAAACTACTTTCAAAATTATTCGTAATAATGACGCGTGATGTGAATTGAATAAGCCTTTAAATTGATTGGTATATTTTGTTAATTTATTCTCTTATTTCAAACAGATCTCTGGGTACACATAGTTTTCTTTCATTGATAATAATCTCAGTTTAATAGTCAATTCAACTTAGTTATTGAGTAAATTTTCAGTTTTTGTATTTTTGTTATAAAAATCTGTATATTATAATTGCTTTTCTTTGATATTAGCAGAGAAGGCTGGTTGTTTATTTCATTTCGTATACGATTAGATATGTCAAAGTTAAGTTCTTAAAAGATTAGTACCTGGATGACCAAGCTTTACTCGGCATTTTTATGAAATAAAAAAATTTTACCTATCTAAATCGATTTATTGCCTCTAAAAGCCCCTGCATACTTAATGTTATGAAAATTATTGGAGCCGTTTCTGAAATTATAATACAGTAATTGCTCTTTTAAATGTTTTAGATAAAAAAATGTTATTGCGTCAAGCAATAATAAATACATGAACTTTTATTCAAAATACCCGTATAAATAAATGTTAATTTCATAATACGTGTAATTCCTGTATTTTTCGTAATTAATTCAAATATTAAGATTTGAAAAAATATTACAGTAAAACAGTAAACACACAAAAGTGTCCATCTCAAGTCAAGTGGTATTGATTTTCATAAACTCACGAGATCTCGCTCGAGTCCCAATCTCGCGAGATTTCATTCCCTACTAATATTATTTATAAAGATTCCCTTATATTACTATATGAAAATTGGTATTTAAATACATAATTTATAACAAAAATAAAATTTTAAATTAAATTCTAAAAAATATTCAAGTACCTACAAATACAAATAATTATATATAACAAATAATTTTATATACATAAAGAATATTTATTAAATTTTAATTGTATATATTTTTAACTATACTTTAATTGCGCTAGGTATATTTCTGTATCGCGCTGTTTTGGTTAAGGTTGTGTTTTTAAATAAAGTTTTGCAAGAACTTTAAGCTTTGTTATACTAGATGAAGTTTATTCAAAATTAAACTGCGTACTCGTTACGTTAAATAAATTGCGTAGATTTCAGTTTTCGATTAAGTTTTGTGTAAACTTTAGGTTTGTGTTTTCTATCTGTCTGTATTTCAAATCGGATAAATAGCTTTAAAGTTTTCAGAGATAAAGTACTACAAACATTTGTTGATAAATTACAAGTATATTTGTTGCTGTACTTTATATAAATAAACCAAACTTTTTCTTGTTTGAATATAATCAAATCGAGTCCCTACTCGATACTCCCTAGAATGGGCCATAACCCAACACGCGGGCCTTATGTGAATTGATAGCTGTTAACGACTACATATGTAGCCAGGAACTTTTGAAGCACGAAGAAGCTCGAGATACCTAATAAATTTTTGATGACCAAGAGTGGCCCTAGCGCAAGTTGCTACTATGTGACAGAATCACCCGGTTTCTGAATTGAGCATTTGAAATTAAGCACTTCTCAAACCGTACTTAAATCACCATAAACGTCATTTCTTTTCTGATTTTAAGTTTTTTAATGAACAGTTGATAGTAGTTTGATAAAACGTAAAGAACTTAAGTTATTGAGAATAATCAGTTGAGATTTTGTACTTATCTCAATTCAGAAACCGGCAGTATGTGTACAAACTTATTTTAATGTGTACCTATGCTTGATACGCATTAGATACTTTTCAAACTGGGTACACTTTATGAATTTTAAATTGTTAATCAGGAAAGTAAACCAAAATATTATTACTAATATGGAATAATGAAATTCCTCCTAAAATCTTCAATTCTAATAATGAAAAATTTGATTATTTTTAATAAAATACGGCAAATTTATCTGTCGATTCACTTGTCTTTTTTTAAATGTAAATCTTTTTTTTTCTATAAATAATAATTTAGGAAGGAATTCCGGCTTTCCATGTTTGATTTCAGTTCTCTAGTTAAGTGGTTGGTACGAGTTTCTAAAGGATAAATATAATGCAAGCGACAATGCCGCTTTTGCTACTCGCGCTGATCCCTCTGATTATTAATAATAACATTAGGTTTCTACGAAATTCAAAGTCAATGACATTTGTATGAAATTCAATTAAAAATAACAATAGAATCTGGTGTAAGCAGGTGACGTATTCTTTATTTAGGTTTTGATATTTGCTTGTGATTTTCTGATATTCATGTTTACTTTAGTAAAGTGCTATACGAAAACTAGTCCCACTAGATAATCAAGTTATATCAAGTTATTAAGTAATTAAGTGGGTAGCTTTAGTTCAGGCTTAGGTGTAAAATGTTAATTTTAATTGCTTAAAACTGTCTATAACTTAAACTGTCGACGAGTATTTAATTAAATCAATATAACATCGATAAATTATCTTGTAGATTTAACTAGGTATTTCATATAGCAACGTGATTTTCCTGATAAATATGTATGAGTGTATGAAAATATAGTGTCTTTTTTAATTTCAAACGACAACCGAAAAATTGCTGTACATTAGTTAGATTGTAAGGCAGCCAGTTTTGCTTTACTTAAATTGGTAGCATTAATAGAACTTTTTTGCATAAAACTTCTTAATCCCTTACTACTTAATAGAACTTCTTTGACGACGACGACTTACGACACTAATAAAATATGAAAATAAAAAACACAAAGATTTTATATACAAACTTCATTCGCTAACAATAGTAAACAAAATGACCATTGCATTTTGAGCAAGTCACAGGGCAATGATATCGTTAAATTCGTTTAGTACAAGAAGGGAGCGGAGACATATCGTGCAGCTGGTATAACCGGAGCGGCAGGTAACACGGGCGCAGCAGCAGCAGCTACTAGAGGTGCAGCAGGTGCCACGTATGGAGCTACCACTGGTGTGGCGACGGCATGGTTGACAGCATGAGCCGAGTATGAGCTGGCGTATGGCGCAACGTACGCTGCCGATGCCACAGGTGCTACTAAAGCAGCGGGCGCTGCAGCTAATGGTACCACACCACCGGCTTTGACGACAGCAGCGAGTGCGAGTACAACCTGGCAATTAGAGCAAAAAATTATTATAAAAAGGCTATCAAATAATATAATAATACCAGTGAACATAATTTTATTCTCAAGAGACACATTTGTCACTTATAATGAGAATTGAACATTATAAATTTTGTCGTGTGCACTGTCACAGCATAATAAAAACATGAGTACTATCCACACATTCATTTCCAAAAATAGTTTTGGTAATTAATAATGGGTATGAACAATGTATTATATGGTGTGTGGCATAGTCTGAAAAGAATCAAGTGCTACCGAATCCTTAACGACAGGAGGAAGTTAATTATATAAATAATATACAACGCGCAACTCTTAATTTGCTTTAAAGTCTAATTTAAGGTAAATTACTAAATTGCTTAGTTTAAATAAAATACGTTAACCGTGAGTTGTACAAACGTCTATTAAAATCGACATTAGTTTAAAGCGACATTACCCATATAAATTTGACATTCATTAGAGCTTAAAGGCGTTGTTAAACCTTAATGGACGTTTGTGCAACTGACCGTAAGAGTCTCACAATTAAGCACATTGAATTAGCAATTTTAAAACCTATTATTGTACTTTTGAACATCGTAACTCAGATAAATACGACAGCCGATTCGAGGGCTTTCCGAATGAACTACTAAATTTAAAATCAGCTATAGATGTAGGTACTTAAAGTACTCGTATCATTAAATTATTAATATTATTTTGGGAAATGAATGATAAAATTAAAAAAATGCTATTTAGAAACTTACAACGAATTTAGCGATCATTTTGCTTGTTTCTTGTGACTGCTACTAAAATGCGTAAGAAAATCTGTGGACTGTGCCGTCTCCAGGGTATCGTTGTGTTATATACTGACCGCTGTTATATATTAAGCAACATTGTGTCAACGCAAGTCCAGTAGCTGAATAATGCGACGAGCATCGCTACATAGGCATCACGATTTTTGACCCAGACAACATACACGTACTGTGCATTCTAATTTCGACTTTGTACGTATCAATTTCACTGTAACGTTATATAAGTGACGAAAGCGAAACCGTGTCACCAAGTCATTAATTCATAAGGTCTACATTATATTAACAAGTTTGTATTATACTTTTTTGATGATATAAATACGCTTTGATGTTTAACAAACGAATACAAAAGCATGAAATTTTCTTAGAAAAGTTAGTTAGCGACAATAATGTGTCTGGAGGTTGCGTTAAAGATATTTTCCTGCGAAATAGTCAATTTTATCAATATCATTAAAATTGAATTACAAAAAAGTAATGAACAAGTCATGTTGCTTTTTTATAACAACTGTAACCAATTGAATGTGAAAACGTATGTGAGCGTTTTTTAACAAAAGATTCCAATTATTTATATTCCTATTATACTGGAAAATGATTAGGTTCATCTAGGTCTCAGTATCATAGTTTATTTTATTAGATATAAAAATAGAACACTATTACGCTTTAATGGTAATTGTTTGTTGTTAAATTAAATTTTATCTCTACATATTTTATTTCTAACAAGAACTTTTCAAATTTTGGTCATGGTCTTCAAGAGACATTTTTTAAAGTGCTGATCAAATCTGTATTTAAGATTGTCGTCGACTAATTCTATAGAAGGTAATTTTGAAGAAATGCCAAATATCTATAAAAATACAAGTTATTTTTTAAATTTTGGATTAAGTATATGTTTGCCCAAGTTTATGCTAGTCTCGTTGCACTTGCATTGCACATACCATCTTAAGCAAGAAAAAACTTTACGGATAGCAATGCTCCATTTCTCCGTGCGTGCTTACGCGAATCCCAAATGACCAGCGCAATACGTCAAATGTTGATTTTGTTGTACGTTAAAAGAATTACGATTTAGCTAGTATAAAAGGCTTGAACAATACAATATATTTACATTACTTGTCTTCTTTTTCTCAAGGAAGGTTCACTTCTAATCAAGCAAAATGTTTTCTTTTAAAACTGTAAGATTTTTCTAATATTAGCGATTTAATTAAATATATTAAAAGCATTATTCTAAAGTGTTTTTTTCTTTTCAGATCGTACTCATCGCTGTGGCTTTTGCAACTGGAATTGAATGCAGTGGTGTACCTGCTATAGCCGCTCCACTTGTAGCATCTGCAGCTGTCGGATATGCTCAAGCGATACCTCAAAATATTCCACCTTTTGCATCACAAGTTAGCGTTGTCAATAGAGCGTTTAGTCCTCTATTAGCCGCTCCAGTTGCTCCGTTGGCTGCTAGGATTGCTGCACCGTTAGCTGCCCCAGTTGCTGCACCTCTAGCGGCTCCAGTCGCTGCGCCTCTAGCTGCCCGGATCGCTGCACCCCTAGCTGCTCCAATTGCTGCACCTCTAGCTGCCCCGGTCGCTGCGCCTCTAGCTGCTACCTACGCTGCTGGTGTCGCTGCACCCTACGCTGCTGCTGTCGCTGCGCCCTACGCTGCTGCGCCATTCGCTCCTGCACCCTATGTAGCTGGTCCCGCGCCATACGCCCTTCCTGGATCATATGCTGCACCTTTCCCTTATTCAGCGCCCCTTATTCGTTCTCCTTATCTCGCCCCAGCATTTGTGCGATAGATTTTAAGAAAATAGACTGACCTTTCTAATAAATATTTGGTTTTAAGTAGTCAAATTATGAAAAAATATAAAGCTTTTTTATAATGAATAAATATATGTGAAACATAAAAATGGTTTGCTTTAGTATTTTAGAATCACGAACCACATAAATAATTCTGGTAGGTAATTTAATCATAATAAAAACAATTCGAAAATATTACATACATTGTTCAGATCCTATATCGAGTAACTTAAACACTTCTAAACATTATCTCCGTATTGTATAGAATTTTAACCACAACTAACCCTAACCACATTATAAGAACGAATTATTAATATACACTGCCTGCAATGTATATTAAAAATTTGTTATCGTTTTCTCTATCATTAATAGTTCGGCCAAATTAGATAAAAAATAAGAGTACATTTAACAAAAAGCTGAAGGCAGAGGAAATTCCTCAAAACATAATTAATAAAAAATATCATTTTGAAACTCCTTATCTCCACGTATATACATATCTGAAAGTGTAATAAAAAATTAAAAATATATTCTATCGGTGATTGTAACTGTGGTTGAAAGTTGGTGGACATTAGATTAGAATCAATTCAGACTTTTCTCCCACCTGTGCTAGAAAAACTATTGTTACTGACAGAGAACCGTGGACTGTAGTTTTATTAAATTAAAAATATTTTTAAATAATTTGATGATGACAAAAACTCATAAGATATCAACAATAATAAAAAACCATACAACGCCGTCGAACATAGAACCTCTCTCCTTTCGATTTTAAAGTCGGTTGAAAAATACAAAACGGCAAATTCAAATAAAATAAAATAAACTATAAAAAGTACTTGTCAGAAGAAGCTGGCACAATGCTACTAAACACAATGTCTTGCAACTGTAAAAATGGATGCAGTGCTAAATATGGTTGCAAAAAAATGGACTGTTTAGTTACATGCCAAAGCCTGTACAAATTATTATCACGGCCGTTCATGTTTTAGTGTTGAATCACAGCGTAATTTTTGAACTAGTTTAAATGTTTTTTTAATATTTAGATAATTCTATCAGCAGAAGTATTTTTGGTGTGCAAAGTTATGTGATTTAAGTTGACTAAAATCTCATATTAATATAATAATAAAAGAACAAAAACTAAGAACGAAACGTCAGCGATACAAAAATGTCAAATTTCCTCTCTCGATTTAAAACATTAAAAATTAAAATTTAATATTATACTCGTAACAACGTAAACTAATGTGCAATAATTCTACATTGAACGCCGCAGCTCTGCAAATATTTTTCAGAAAAAGCACTTTAGCTAATTATTAATTTATGAGAGTATCCAGTCTCTATGAGGCATATCGTTTATGACTACCATGCAAGTCGCCTAGACAACAGCCCCATGTCAGACAAAATGTCAAAAAGATGCCCTTCGATTGGTGTTTTCCATCGGCAATGTAAACAGATTCGCCCTCACTCACATGTCTAAAGTTTGTGTTTTTTATAAGTTTTAGTTGTGTTATCTCTAGGTCAAGACAATGCAGGCAGTTCCCCAGACAGTTTTTAGTCACCAAGGTAATGTAGTACCTGATATTTTATCAGTCTCATTGAATCAAATCAATAAAATTTAGTCCAATTTGCAAATTTACTCCCAAGCACGTCTAATCGATCTTCATCAACTAATTACTAATGTGAATGATGATCTGAATCGAATTTCAAATTGTAGTAAATCATATGGTTTAATAATAAATCATTCATCAATCATCATCATAATAAATCATCAATCATTATTGTTGGCAACTTTACGATGATTAATAAAATCGACTGGTCTCAACTACCTTTGATTACATTTGACGGTATCACATTAACTCCTAGTAACTGTGTTAGGAATTTGGGTGTGCTAATTGATAAAAATTTCACTTGGGATCCCCAAATCCAGAAAGTGAGCCGTAAGATGTTTGCTGCAGCTGGGTCCATAAGAAGACTGCGCAATTTCCTACCTCTCGGTACTAAAACTGCGCTGGCACAAGCTCTCCTTCTCCCCATTTTGATTACGCAGACGTTAGCTATCTTGACCTTACTGAGGGGCAACTTAACAAACTTGAGCGGTTACAAAACTTCTCTATCAGATTCATATTTGGTTTACGAAAAAACGATCATGCATCCGATTTCCGTGCAAAACTCAAGTGGCTCACGATTCGTCTTCGCCAGAATGCACATATCGTTTCCCTTCTTTACAGTGTTTTGTTTAAACCACTTTCGCCATCTTATCTTAAGGAACGTTTTAATTTCCTTCATAATACCCACACTCGAGTTTTGAGATCATCCGAGAACTTAAAATTGGAGACACCAATGCATTTCACAAAATTTCTTGACAAATCTTTTATAGTTCAAGCTGCCCGTATCTGGAATGCATTGCCGGAAAACATAAAACGTGTGCAAATGGTAGATAGTTTAAAATATCTAGTAAAGGAGCACTATCTGTCATTATGAACTTTTACATTATATCCAGTTATAGCATGTATGATATTTATAGCTATAGTATGTATGATAATTATGTACTCGTATGTATGTTTTTATCATGTACATTTATGACACCATAGACTACCTAATTTAGATTTAAATTAAAAATTTCCAAACGGTAACGGTTGCCTGTTAAAAGACAGCCTGAACGAGTGGTAGAGGAAAAAAGCTTACTTGAATAAAGACATTTTCATTTCACTTCACTTCACTTCGTTTTATTTCGTTTCACTTTACTTCACTTAATTTCACTTCATTTTATTTCATGACACCATTTACTTACACCCAGAATGAAGAAGAAAAAAAGAAGAAGTGGAAACGTGTCCGTGACGATTACAACTTTTATAACTTTTTGAATTCGAATATCTCAGAAACGGTCTGAGGAAAAAATATTGATACATTTTTACAGCAATTTTATGACCCAAAATTATATTTAAGAACTATATAATCATACATTCAATTATTTGAGTACAATTCAAGAAACTCAGTTATCGGCTTTGACTGTACTTTTGGTTAATTAAGTAAGTGATTAAAACAAAACCCATTCAATCGGAGGTATGGGAAATAATATTTCCGCTCCTCTTACCAAACTCAATAATCGGAGATTGTAAAAAAATCCCACTACTCCTACCAATCAGAGTAATGATCGAAGGACTGGACATTTATATGGAAAAGCTTCCCGGATTGTTAAGAAAGTATTGTTTCATCAAGATAATGCTCGCGTTCACACGTCGCGTCTGTCTTATCCATGGCCAACTATATAAAAATTTCCAAATAAATAAAAAAAAATGTAGATTTACTAACATTTTAATGCTGTGTGTAATAAATAACTTTAATAATAATGTTTATTTAAAACTGGCGTAAAAGCTTGATAATACTCGTACACTTAGAAGTATTCAGTTAAAGGATCTTCGTATTACGTGGATAAGTAAAAATATTATTGCTTATATTCTATTTTCTTTTTCTTGACTAGACAGTCCCAAGTACTATCAAAACTACTTGTAACTAAAACTACTAAAGTTGAGAAATTGATCAATTAGTTGGAGTGGTTAAAGAACTTGACCAAGAAGTTCATATAATAAATATATGTCTATATTCGTACCGCAACTATATATTATCACTTATGGTCTTAAGTATATACAGGTAAATAAACAATCAAAAATAATAAGAAATTCACTGATTATTTGAGTTTATTTACAAAATCTTATAAATCTAAATATAACAATTATTTAATTATATACGTAACAACAAAACAAATAACAATGATTCGTTATAAGACTAGACTGACTACCAAGCTGCGTGTTTCAGTAAAGGAGCTCCTATTAAGGGAGCTGGGATAAATTTGGCGTATGAGTGTAACGGAACGGCTCTTGCGACTGATAGTGGTGCGGGGGCAAGCGCTGGGGCGAATAATGGAGCTGGGGCAGGTACGGCAACAGGCCTTACTACCGGTGAAAACGGTACCGCTGGCCAAGCAGGGACAGCTCTCGCGGAAAGCGGAGGAAGGGCAGGTATACCCGGCACGAGTCTAGGGAGAGCAGGGCCGAAAGGAGTAAAAAGTGGAGCAGCCGAAGCGACAGCTGTTGGGGGGAAAGCTGGAGCCGGCAAAACTGGAGCAGGAGCTGGAAATGCGTGAGCCACTGGCGCTGGTAAAACTGAAGCAGGAGCTGGGTATGCGTGAGCTACTGGAGCTGGTAAAACTGGAGCAGGAGCAGAGAATGCATGAGCTACTGGTGCTGGTAAAATAGGAGCAGGAGCTGGAAATGCGTGGGCTACTGGTGATGGTAAAATTGGAGCTGGTGCTGGGAATGCATGGGCTATTGGTGCCGGTAAAACAGGTGCAGGCGCTGGAAATGCATGTGCTACTGGTGCTGATAAGACTGGCGCTGGAGCAACTGCTGGGCTGACTGCATGTACAGATCTGACTGATGTTGGAAAATTGTAGAAAGGTGCATAACGCACTATTGGTATTGATTTTACTGTGGGTATTAAGTGGCCAATGCCGCTAGCATTGCAACTAGCTATGACAACCACTGTACTAATGACCTGTGGAAAAAGAAAATGTTAAAATTCTACTTCTAGTTTTAAATGTTTATCTTAGAATCGTTCTCTTTTATAATATTAAGATTATATTTTAATTAACTCAATACTTACTAGTCTGAATAACAACATTGCGAATTGAGGTACGACTTGATGAGTCAAGTATCAATATAGAAGTGTATTGATGAATGTCTTACATGTCGTTATATAGTACAAACTGTTGCAAGCATTACGATTACTGTTCGAACGCAGTAAGTTTCACTTTCCTTAGACAGGACAGTCGCATACTCAAATAGGTGGCCCAGTACCATTCTTTGTTGTATCTGATGCATGTTGACCATCATTAGCTTTGTTATATAAGCGAAGGAGGTTTATAGGAGGTGTGTTGTAATTATTATATTATTCATTGTCTCATTGTAGGGATATAAATAGGTTATTATTGTTACCGAATATAATACTAACCTAATGGAAATTTAGTTAAACAATAAGGGAAGTTTTAAACTTTCATGGACAGCCTTACGTCCGACTTTCCTTATATATATATAACAAATAACTTTAAAACACAATAAAGCTGCAGAATTTATTTGTGATCCTATTACACTTTTAGTTGTTTTCTTTGATATGTTTGAATAATTCACAGTTAATTGATAAACATTACAAAAATATTTCCAAAAGGATATAATAACTTCTATGCAAATTTACAACAGCACGTCAAGTGTATCTATCACCACAAAAATGAAGTATCTAAACAGTAATAAATGGAAAAATAAAGTTAACTACTTATTAAAAAAGAGTTACCTTTTATTTTTACATTTTTTGCTACTTAACCCACAACTCAACTTGGAGTTTTGAGAAAGAATATTTTATTTAATTTTAGGGCAAACACAAATGATTGCTATCTTGCTTTTACATAGTAACCAGTAGTTACTGCGGTAAACAAAACATGTTTTCATGTGTTCGATATCAAAGCAGGACAAAAATCACGTAATATTTGACACAAATCTATAATCTTGTGAAGGACGCCCTTAATATTATGCTGCGTAGGAATAACCAACATGTTGGACTGAATTTTAACTAAGCATTCAGAGAACTAGTCTGATCATTCATTATTCAGATGTTGTTCGTCGGCGAAATTATTGAATTTTTACATAATATAAACAAATAATTTTAATACAATTATTAATGGCAAAAGTATAAAATTGCTGATTATGCAGAAATTTGTAACTTTGTTTTCAAAACGTAAAGTAAAGAATTCTTGTATCTAGTTTAAAAAAAAAACTGTCTGAAAGCATTTCGTATTATTTTTTATAAATTTTAAAATGACATAGTAAAATAAAAGTCCAAATTGATTACATACTCTACCTAAAATATGCATGTTGTTATTTAACAACTCGAATGTGCGTGGTATGTAATTACGCATCACCATGCATTCAAACGCCTAAAAAAAATTATGAAACTTACGAACAGCCAAAAATAGATGATAATTCATTTAGGCATTAAATAAACTCAATTCACTCATATAACAACAGAAGAAAATCGGAATTCATGTAGAATTTTTCGAAACGATACAAATTCAAAGGACGTAGCAACATATCTACTTTGATTAATCAGCGGTAGTTGAAAACTTAACTCGTATTAAAAAAAAATAAAGTCAAAAATATGTTGTATTGTTCGATACATACTATGGCTTCTCATGAACAAAGAGAGCTATGTCGTAAACTTACTTCGCTTAAGTGAAGTTCGTCGAAATCGTAATTTCTCCTCGAATTTTGCTTGGAAAAATTGTTGATACTTTCCTCTAAAGAAAAATTTAACTTAATAATTTATTTCATAGAGGTAGAAAAACAAAATTGGACCTTAGCGAGAAGGGACAAAATAGGCAAGTCCAATGTTACGAACTTTTTCTCCTAATTGTAGCACTTATTAATTTGCGCACAATTCTGAATAGGATCGTAATATAACGAGTTACAGTAACAATAATATAAATATGTACGGAATAAAGAAACAATCTATACCGTAACTTTTAAACAAGTGAGCATAGTATGGACAAAATAAACAAAAATCAATGAAGGTAACCTAATAACATAGTTACTAAAAATACAGTTACTAAATATAACAACAAAACAAACACTTCTAAGAGCGCAGGATGCATTGGACTTGTCTTTTAAAAGTAAGAGTTTACCGTTAAAAATGTCTAGTAAAGAATGTTCGACTGCAAGATACATATAATGGCATTATAAAATGATATGTCATTTCTGTAGATTTACAAATAACAAACTTTTATTATATTTAACTATTAGGATCTAAGTTTATATATTTGTTACCTAATGCCACTGGAATGGCTTAATTTCGACTTAGATAGAATTTACCGCTCATGCCAACGTACGAAGGGCAATTAAGTCCTAACTTTGCGTATGTACGAAATTAATGTTTTATCAACCGGTCATTTTAATCTAAAAGTTCTAAATTCAAATCTGAAAGAAAGTTACGATCAGTTAAAACAAGCTGTTAACGGTGGCCGAATTGTCTAATTTTTTAATCAATCATAAGTAAATATAAGTATATTTTTACTTTACTAAAGTTTTGAGACACCATAAGCTACCAAAATTTAGATTCAGTTTTTTAATTTTTCCTGTACGCAAAGGTTGCCTGGAAGAAATTACTTTTTAGTAAAAAGACCGCCAATTGTGCATTTATTTGTACTCGATTGTTTTGTCCTGTATTGGTGTACAATAACGCATATTTCATTCATTCATTCATTAATTTTCAAACGTATAGTGGTGGGGATAGTGATTTATGGAATTGTGTAACTTTTAAAGTCACAATTTCTTTCGGAACGAATGACGATTTGAATGATACAGAATGTCATAGATAATCATTTCTTTTTGTTTTTTAAAGTTGTGAAATAATCTTTACGATTTCGTATGATTGTAATTAATTTCGACTAAAGAATAAAAATATTTTATTCTATCAATAAAATGTTAGAAATATAAATCATTTCTACTTTTGATTTCATATTATACATTTCATACTTTTGATAAACACAATGTTTTATTTCAACGAAAAACAAACAAAATCATTGTACTATCGTACTAACAAAATGCGCTAAACGCGTTTTTTTATGTCAGCTCTTCTGGGGATGATCGATACGAGTAAATATAAGTACTTACTCGATATTTTTCAATGGAAATCAAGTACTAATATCATCGATACTTTAAAACGGAGTAGTAAATAGTATCGTGAAGTAAAAAGTTAGTGTTTGTATCAGTATTTGGTCGGTCAGTCACTGAGGAGTGTCAAAAAATCGCGAGCATTAGTCTGTTTACTCTGTGTTAAGGAACTAAAGTCTATCTCATGAAAAAGTCCCACAAACGACAGGGACGCTGCCCTGTCCCTGTATGACTAAACATTACTAACCCCTACTAATTTTATGCAGTTAGAGATCTATATAGAGCCAACTAAATTTGAAGCAATACCTAGCCAAATTTTATACCTGTTATTACAAAACATTATAACTATATGCTCGCCTTTTATATTTACCTACTTTTCTTTTTTTATTATACAGAGTAAAGCTTTTGACTATTAATAGTATCAAATCTACTCTGAAAAAACTGTAAAAATGTTGACGATGGTGAGGTATTTTATAACTATTTGATACAAATAGGTATCGTTTAAAAGTACCGATTCCTTCGTGGAATAGTTGAATCCCTGAGCTCGTTATATCGTCAGCTGTGCATCATCTGTCAGAAAATTTGGATGAACTTTGCATTTCATTTTAAGTTAGAAATATTTATTAATAGCTGTTTAGTTTTTTTTTTGTTGTATGTAGAGTTCTGAGTAAATCGGTAACCCAGTAATGAAGGAATTTAATAGTGTAATAGTCACCTAAATGAAATTAGCAAATTTTGTGGTAATTAAAAAATAACCATTTTATGAAAAAGATATAAATCTAAAATAATATAAGTAACTATTCTTAGTATTTTATCCAGCGTAACGAGTGATTATGTCATTTCTAGAATAATAATTATGAGCTTTATTGGGTTTGAAATGAATGTAAAGTATATTCCTTAACAAAACTTTCAAAAACATAATCATAACATACATAAAATATAGAAAGATTGCAGTAAGTGTTCAATGCTTTCATTTGACATTACCCAATAGCTTTCAAAGGTATATGTAACCATCAATTTGCTTAGACAATTCCGATTAACGTCAAATGAATGTTATCATTCATTCAAAATCTTGCAAAAAAATGTCGCGATCGCATTTGCCTTCACATGTCATTTAGTTGTAGCGTGAAGTTCGCGAATGTCTTTCAAATGTCAAATTCAAAGTGATTTTTGAAACATTTTTTTTAGACAATTAGGCCATAGATTAAAATCAACCGAAGGGCCTCTGAAGTAATCTGATTTGCTGTTGTCAGTATATACTTCGATTAACAATTTTTTATTTTTTCCATATGAAACGCTTATTTCATATTTAAGGAACTTATAATTACCTATATAATATTTTATTTTTGTGACATCAAAAGTCGTAAAATAATTAAATTATTAATATTTCTTAATTCTAGTTTAAGTATTATGTTACAGAAAGTAGTTTAATATGTGAAATAATAAAGTCATTATTATGTACAAGATATACAAATTTATTTCATAATAATTGGATTTATAACAGTCTTTTTTCATTTAAGGGCGACTACAGGTGCGGCAGCGTACGGTGATGGTGCGAAAAGGGGAGCAGCAGCTGGAGCTACGAGTCTAGCCGCAGGGGCAACATAGGGGGCTTGAGCAACATAAGGGGCTGGGGCAACATATGGCGCTGCAGCTACGTATGGGGCCGGTGCTACGTATGAAGCTGCAGGCGCCACGTATGGAGCTGGAGCTACGTAAGGAGCAGGGGCAACAATTCTGGCAGGTGCTACCACTGGCGCTGCGACGACAGGTGCTGCTGCGATACCATTGTAGTTTCTAGAGATGTACTGTGAGCTTGAGGCAGTAACGAATGGAGCTGGTGCTGCAACTAGAGGTGCAGGGGCAGCAACAAGAGCCGCTGGAGCTACAACTCCTCCAGGCTTCGCAGCCGCTACGGCGATGATGGCAAAGAAGAAGGCCTGTAAACAATTGTCATTTGATTAGTATGTGTGTTTATGTAAATTGTTATTTAGTTTTGTGAATTAGCACTTACAATCTTGTACATTGTTCTAAGTTTGTTGGTCTCTGTCGAGAGAAGATGTGAGTGTGATGTCCAACATCGAATGACAATACCTTTTATACCTTAAACAAGTGAGATTCACCTTGTGTTTCGTTTCGTCATGTTGCATTAGCTAGTTAAACTCAGAGCACGCAATGGGGACAAACGTCATTACGACAATGTACTGACAGCCCAATATCGTAATATTGGAGCAGTTTTTTTGGTATAATTCGGACTTTTATTCTTAAGATGCATCGCGATGGACGCTTAGATATGTGTTTATGTCATAATAAATTTAATATTTTACTAAACTGTACCAATTTTGTTGTAGGCATTGAAATTATAGGTATATTCAATCTTATCCTGGAATAATTATTAGCTAATTATTTGCTGTAAAAGGATATTAGAACTAAGTTTATTTTATTTTGTAATTTTAATTAAAAAAACGAACTTTTTAATTTAAAAAATATGAATATCCAAATATGAATGTGAATATAAAAAATATGATTAAATGCGGTCTTAAATTCGAATTATCGAACCTTCTTTTATAATAGGTCAGGTATTTAAGTCACAGATATACTTTTGTTTTGTGAAATTTAACTATATAGTATTATTTCATTATGAATTCAGTAAAAAGAAGTGTTTTTTCATATCTATTCGTGTCTATACATAGTTGACAACAAATTCGCTTCCTGCTGTTTGTATGCTGAGAACTTTTAAACAATGCAAAGTGTTTTAATGCGGTTTTCCACAATATATAGGTACACCGTGATTCAAGAGGAAGCTTTATATTTTTACTTATATTACCACACGCGCAAAGCCGCTGGCGGAAAGCTAGTACAATATAACCTGTTGTTTGTATATAGCTCCATTGAAATGATTTGGAGATGTTAGCTCAATTTTTTATTTTTGGATTACCCAAAATACCTTATTAGTTAGCTAAGAAATCATAAAGGTATTTTCTAAAATTTTAGCCTAAAAAGTTTCTGAAATATACAGAGAAATGGTACATTTTCGTTTGAAATTCTCACAACAAGCTTTTCATTTGAAATATCGCACGACATATTATACAAAACTTTTTTGGGTGAATAGATTGCGTAAGTGTATACAATTTCAACTCAACCAGTCCATCAGGTTCTATTTTGTTATAAAACAACCTTGAAAACGATGAGCCTAACATTGTCACTATCTAGAGATTCAGTTAAATAGAAACAACTTGGCAAGGGAATAGAGGTTTTATTTTATTGAAGCTCTATCGCTTGACGTCGAGTTCGAAGCTGGTTATTGATAGAATACCATAGTGCTTTCGAAGTAAAATATCTTTGACAGACAAAAGAACAGTAACACATACACACGAGTAATCTTAAAGGTGTTCTCTTTCACATTTTAAGGTGCACATAAACCCAACCGTCTTATTACAAAACCAGGACTAACTTTAGTACCAGGTTTATATAAACCATTATTCGACAAAATTAAGTCAACATCAATCATCATCAACAATTATGTATCAACAAAGATCATACTTATTACGTGACCCAAATGTGCTTTTTACTCCAAATATCTTATAAATATACTCATACAAAAAAGATTTGATAAAATCCGTACAAAACAAGTTTCTAAAACTATATCTTTTTTTAATTTTATAAATGTTTTAAGACGTTACCTAAAATTAGTAACTTCCAATAACAAATTGATTTTGAACAACGAAATAATATTCAAATAAGTTTTTATTCAAAATGAGAAAACTACATTATAAAATCACGCTTAATCGAGAAAATTCAGTTATCATTCTGTTTTATTTATATTAAATTATATGAAAAAATGTGGGTTACTCAGTAAAATCTATTTTCAGGAAATTTTCCTTGTTTTCTTTTGAGAACATAAATATAATTGGTCAAGGGTGACTCAGAATTGCGCGAAAAAATATTTAATAAAAAAAAAATTGCAAACATCTTTTTATATAACTTAACGAAAAATGCTTTAAAAATCATATGGACTCGAACCCACGTCTACTCAATCCAGGCGACTTCTCTAACCATTTAGCTACCCAGGACCTAACAGGATTGACGAATTTTTCAAGCACTTATATATTAATTTATTTATATATTAATTTCCCTAACTTTGCACATGACCCACAATCACCTGCTACCAGTATCAATCAGCGATAAGGCCGCCTTTTGCACAACTGTAATTAATTTAACTTGTTTTTTGTTCGTTACAATGTATTCATTTTTACTTTTTTGTGCAATAAAGTGTTAAATAAATAAATACCTTTTGAGTATTGTTTTACAATGTTTCTTTTAAAGTGCAATAAAGATTACTTTTATTTTATTATTTTCCCTATAAATAGGCCGTCACGTGTCAAATTGATATATTTACATTATACAGTCGTCTTTGACTGAATATGTGTTCAATTAGATAGAAATGTAGAGTGGCTCAGTAATGTACCTGCGCAGAAGTTTAATATCCAAATGCGTTAAATCTTGACCAATCAGAATGATTCAAGTAGATATAAAGCGATCCACCAATATCCACGTACCTGATGCCTGCTGCGTCTGAGTATTTTACGCTTTAGGGTTAAAGAAATAATACTCACTATACATATTCCCCGTACATGCGGTTATTGTTGTATCGTTGTAGTTGTTTAAGATATGCTACGCGCAAATGAAACATTCACCATGTACCATATTATCTGGAACTTACTGTACCTATTTTTCATTCAGCCGATCCACTAGTTCCCGAGAAAAAATTGTTGCCGGCAAATAATCAAACGTGATTCTATATGGGTGACGGATTACATTTTTTTAGTACATAACCCCGATAATGTACCAAATCTTTCCGCAGAATCTAGAAGCATTTTATTAACTGCGTAACAATAAAACATCCTGACGTATTGTTTTCCATTTCCATTCCAATTGTACTTTCGGCTTTTGGATTAATATATAGCCACTTTAAAAAGCTTTGGTTGGGCTGATGGATTTCGGTCCCAGCACCCTTGTCATGTTACGTAATCTTTGTGTATTTGAAAGTTCACTAACCGAACTAGAAAGTCCGTGAACCTGTATATTCCAGACGCGATAATAATTTTCTTTATATTTTTTTTATATTCAATTCGTAGGTTAACAAACTGGGCAATAACTATTACGAAATTACATATTCATAGACAGCGTTTATTCCGTTTATATCTCAATGATGTCGCCAGTTCATCTAATAGAATTACTATGATTTATGATTACCTTTTTATACTTATGTGTATAGTTGCCTAATCATATGGAATAAATTCATACTTTTTGTGTTAGGTACTCATCATCATCAGCCCTTTTACGTCCCCACTGCAGGAGCTCAGGCCTTCCTTATGGATGGTTAAGGAGGATGGGCCATGACCCTCCACGCTGGCCCAATGCGGATTGGAGGGTACTGACGACTGCAAATGCAGCCGGGACCAACGACTTAACGTGCCTTCCGAAGCACGGAGTAGCTCGAGATAATAATTTTTTGGTCTCCCATCCCGTGACCGACCCTTGCGAAAGTTGCTTAACGACTACGATCTCGGGCCGCGGCGCTTATCCACTACGCCACCGAGCTACAGTTAGTAGTGGTTAGTGTTAAATGTTTATAGGTATTTAGTTTTTATGTTTTGATTCAGCTTTAATAATTTTATATGGTTTAGTTCAAGATTCAATATATTTTATACCCTAGATCTAGGCTGTTACAAGCTTAGCTAAACCATTAGTTCGCAGTTTTTTCTGTATTGAAGAAATTTGAAAGTGATTACATTAGACAATGAAATTACTTTTCATTAAAAATATCAGAAATAACATCATAAACTTTAAGTCTTCATTAAGTATTGTCTTTTGTTTTGTTGCGTTGCAAATTTGAATACGTTAAAGATAATGGATAAGGTTATGACACATCTTACTTTAAATATAGCTGAATTGAATCTACACTTTTGAATATTGAATTACTTATTATTACTGAATTGATTTTTATCGCGGTAACCCATCAAATCTTTTTCAATATCTAAAGTTATTTAAAGCACAGAAATATAATAATTATAGTAACATTATATTCAGATAGATGGGATATCTTGATTATTTGTCCCTTAATAGTCAAATGAAGACTTTGACTTACGTGCTCTAGTACAAATATAGTTGATTACACGAAATTGACTAATATCACTAACTGACTCATACATATCGTTAATAAAGATTCAACACATATTTCGAACAAACTTATTTTTTGAGAGGAAATACGATTATTTGTTTTTATTAGCAAATTTGAATGCAGAACCATTAATGACATGATTTATTTTTCTCACAAAAATCTCATAAGAATTAATAATTATAAAAGGAAAGCAATGAAATGGAAAAATATAAATATTTATTTACAATGTTTTAACGAGTACATAACAATTGTAGCTACTTATTTTGTAATGTGAATATACATTAACAAGTGTAATATTATGACGACTTACTTAGGTGCTTAACTATTTTATAGCCTTGGAGGCTTTGTCACAGGTATCATAGAAGGTCTAAATGTTAAAGGTTCAACTTCTTTTTTCATTGGTCTTCCAGGGCCTCCACGAGCAGTTATTGGTAGTCTGTACACTAACTTTGCCGGAACCCTAACTGAACGTACTTTGACAGGTGAAGACACTACATGCACTGGCCTTATTATAAGTTTAGCTTTAGTTGGCACAAATGTATGAATATGTTTCACGGTTCTTATATGCTGAAATTTCGGAAGCGGAGGTGGTGCGATGTAAGCTAGTGGCACCGGTACGATTTCTACGGAAGTCTTCAACTTCAGTGGCTTTTGTAGTGGTCTTTGTGGTTGATACCATTGCTTTTGTGGCGTCTGTTGCTGTGGCGTATGCTGCTGCGGCCACTGTGGTCTAGGAGGTCCGTAAATGTTGAAATTCGTATTTTGATTAGACGGCAACGCTTGTACGAAACTGTTATCCGAATTCGACGTGGCCAATGGCGTAGTAGTTTCGATTTGTTTCGTAGTCGTTTCCACTTCAGTTTGTTTCGTTGTTGGTGTAGTGGTCTCTTTTCGGGAGTCATCTGGAACATTGCCAGGTTGTGCTGGTACAAATCCGACAGAAGTTGGGGGTGGTGCAAACGGGTAAGGTGGCAACAGAAACGTGGCTACAGGTGCGGCTTGGGCTGTAGCAACAGCTATTGCTATATTTGGTTGAATAGGGTTATTTTGAACTGGAGTCACTGGCAAGTTTGCTGTTGGTTGAACAAAAACTGATGGCGCTGGTGCGACTGGAATAACAGGCGCTGCTGGTGCTACAGAGACGACTGGATGGACAGGCGCAACAGGTACAGCCGTTTGTGGAACTACTAATCTATTGAAAGTTCTTTCAAAATATTGGGAGCTAGCTGACGTCACTACTGGAGGTGGGACAGGCACTGGAACCCCTTGCGCTGAATAAACATTAATGAAACCCCCATCATGTTCCACAGAGCCTCTTACTAAGCTCTTAGCATACAGCACCGTCAATACTAGGACCTGTAACAGAAAACGCAAATCATTCCGATGTTCTAAATATAACATATTTAGTGAAGGACTTCACAAATAAACAATACCGTCCGAATCATAGCTATGACCCTCTTCAAGCCACTAAAGAAATTATAATGAAGGCGCTAGAAATTGTAGCCCTGTCTTTTATATAGGTGTAACAAATTTTGCATTGTGGTGAAGCAACGATGCGGGTGTATCGGAATACCTAATGTTTCAATGGGTAAGGACAGGGACCTTGATGGCTACGAAAATCGTATTGAAACGTCCTAAGAATAATAATCGACATGATGGGCTGTTAGGAAAGTGCTCTCTATTATCAGTTATTGTAAATTTAGTTTGTTAATATATGTTATAAGTTTTAAAATTTTTGTTAACAAATTAGCTACACCTACAAATCATTTCAGTGTATATTTCAGTTTATACTTACCTAATAAGTAGGTAAGTGTTAATGCAATTGAATTTTCGTAAGACTTTTTTATTTTATTTTATATCCCAAGAATGATACGAGAGACTATTAAAATTAAGAAACGTCCAAATTTTAATAGAAATGAAGGTCGGCATTTACCACCGGCTTGGGATTCAATAATTAGTCAAATAAAATCTCAATCCAGATCACACATTGCACAACCAAAAAGTACAGTTACCTACTTCATTCTGTAAATATTAAAAAGTGATAAGTTAGGTTAGTAAATCAAAGAGAGCAATTCACTTTTCTTGTCGGCGTCTTGTTTCGGCAGTTCTTCTCAGACAAGACTCATAAAATTGGAAGTGGTGGTAGATTTATAGCCAGGAGTAAATAAATAGGTCAAACGTATTTTTAAAATCATTTAATTTAATAAATGTAAACGTTGCCATAACATATAAAAAATGTATTACGAATATTTCCAATATTATATTGTTTAAAGGTAGCTATACTCATAATTAAAAAGACAATCCACACCTTAGTCTTATATCACAACATTTTATTGGTGGCAATTGTGTTGGCATAAACTTGATTAAATTTAGTATTAATTCTGCCAAACTCCGTTTAATCTTCTGTTAATATGATTTATAATAAGTATATTACATGTGATATAAAATTAGTGTCTTTTTAGTATTAAAGTGCATTAGAATCGAGACCATTGATGAGCTAATATGCATTAAAAATACAACTCAGTTTCCGTCAAAACGGTCAAAGTAGTTTATTGAATAAATTTATTTAATTTATGTTCTTAATGAAAAATGTTTAAAAAATCCACTTTATCTCTGGCACTCTGATATTTGAATCGAACCTTTCAAAATCAGGGCGACTGCTCCAACCACTGAGCTATCCAGGATCTCCGATCTCGAACAGGACTGTCGAATTATTCAAACACAAGTGGAATTTTTTAATCATTTTTCATTATAAATATTTCTCAGTATAGCACTGTGAATGCAAAATAATCAAATATACTATATTCTTTTTTTGATTTTTATGTAAATGATATTTTGAACACATAAGGCTATATTGAATCGAAAATTCGTCGCGGAATTCCAAGTCGCGAAAAATATATAAAATGACATTCAACCTCACCTCACTACTACACAAAGAAGACCAATTTTTACAATACTTACGTAATATATTGATTAAATCCAAGCGCAACTTGAAAAAAACTATGGCAATATTGTTATTTAACTTAAGTTAAATAACAATATTTATTTCAAATTTCTGCATTGATATGGTTAAAGTAATAATCAGATTTAATTCTACCGTTAGTAAAAATAGTAATTTATTGTAATAATATTTAATAAATTAATTCAATTATTTAATTTATTTCAATTTTTAAGTTTAATTCAATTAAATACTCTTAAAAAATGTACGTATCGGTTTGGAGGTCGCCGTCGCCGTTTCATAACAAATACTGAAGTTCATGAAAATCTAAGTGATATAAACATTCGATGAAGAAAAAATCAATGAGTGAATGAAGTTTACGAAAATATAAGCTTAGATTAGCAAAACATGAAAACTAGCGAGCTGTGCGAATAAATAATCTGACGCTACAAAAATATTTGACGACGAAACTTTAAACATTAGAAAAAAAGGTGTACCTAATGGGGTGCAGCTTCTTCCTAACTATCAGGGGCAGCTTAACCTATAGTGCAGAGTACTGCTTGCACCCGGGCGCCTGTTGTGCTTAAGACGGGCCTGACAATATTCACTAATGAAACAAGATTTCAAGATAATAACTTGGTACTTTAGCATTTCATAAAAGAATTAATAATATTTTTAAAATACCATGAATTTGGGCACTTCGGAATTTCTTTAAAACATCTTACAAAATACCTATCATAAAGAAGAGATTCTTTATGATAGGTATTACGTACATTATAAGTTATATAATATTAGTAACTACTTACTGCTACGATGAAATGTCAAAAACAGGATAATCTGTTCCAATAAACACGCATTTCAATACAGAAACGAAAGATCATTGTCAACTTTTCTTTCTGCCACGGACACTTTTTTGATGAAAGTTGATTATTTCTGTCAAAGTGAACACCTATGTAAAGTAAACGACATTTCTCTAAAATAATAACAGTATAAATCAAATAACAGTGTTATTGATACATTTTCATTTCCATTGACAAACTTTATTAAAATTTAAGTATAGACGGAAAAGCACTTTGCTATAATTTTTTTGGCAGGAGTTTTTGCTTATAATAAATTGATTGCTGAGTTTTTGTACTACTATAATGTATGTATAGCTTGACTCAATGGTTCATAACTCATAATACAACTGTATTGCCAGTTGCCACTTATGTCATCCTGCTGCTGGAGTTCAGGCCATCCATTTTTTTTTATTCTTTTAATTTTTAAGGGGTTTTTATTCTTTAGAACATGCCAACCCCATCATACCATACTTAAATCTAAATTCATTTGATAACAATATTTCACTAGGTAATTTTTTACAGCATTTACTACAACTTATCTTAAATTTACGAGTAATTTACATAGTTTTTGTGCAATGATAGACTTTGGTTCTGATAAAATAGTTTGTATTTCAGGCCATCCATATAAATGGAATAGAATCAAATCGAATAGGGCGAATGGGCCGTGGCACCACGCTGGCCTGTGCTGAACAGCACGGAGGAGCACGAGATAATATATTTTTGGTCACCCATCCTATGACCAACCATTGCAAAAGTTGCTTGACAACCGTATTGCAGACCGAGCGCGCTAACCTATTACCTGGTATTACAGATATATGAAATTTCTTTTCTAAAATTGCTACCGCTAATTTATTAATAGCACTCTACAAAAGATAGAAGAAAATTATTAAATTTGTGTCTCAATATTAAGAGTTGTGTACTCAGTAAAGGATATTTTACTGTTAATCAATATTTAAACAAAAATACTATTTGGTGTTAAATATGGCTTATTTTTATTTCATTATTTATCGATGAGCTTGTTTGACTAGACATGTCATTCGATTGACGAAAATACTATTTTAATTTTATATATTCTCTAAAATTGTAAGTGAAAGTGACTTCACATTTTAATGAAGTCACTTTTCAGTCTTGACGCTCTGTATAAATATATAAATAATAAATATTAAACAACATCACATACATTGCTCAGATTCCAAGATGAGTAGCTAAAGCCCCCGTACTATGGAGTATCTGAGACAACGAAGGTATCACAACACCCAGACCCGTGTCAATATAGAAAAGTTCATTTTCTACATCGACCCGACAGGGAGAAAAAAGCAGTCTTGCCGAGTTTCTTGCCGGTTCTTCTCGGTACTAAGTCTCCCGCCGTAGATTTACGAACCGATGGCGTAGCTCTCGACTTTCAAAGGTGCTTGTAGCTGTCTAGACTGAATAAATAATTTTGATTTGATTTGACAAATATCAGTTTACGCCTAATAAAAGCATCAATGCAACATTTTTTATAGTTTTCAAAATATATTTTAACAGTGTTATTAATAAACAAGGTTTAGCGTTGGAATAAATTTATGCTGAGACTGTACTTACTATTAGTCAAAATTCATATTATTAAACAGACTTGGCAAAAGTTAACCTAGTACGGGAGTTATATTTACTCCTAGAAGGCAGTAGGTGTGATTATTCTTTGTATATGTGTAAACTTTTTTAACCTAATTCAAAAAAAAGGAGGAGTCTGATTTGATTGTATTTTTTTCTGTTCCTCATAACTTTTTACTGGGTGGACCGATTTCGATCATTCTTTTTTTATTTGAAAGCTAGTGATTGCCGTGTGCCATCATTTATCATTTATATTTCATTACATGGTCCAGATGAAAGTCCAGAAGGTCCTGGCAATGACATCTATGAGAAAAAAGTCTTAAATTTGTTACCTCAATTTTCAGCATAGTATTTGTCAGACTTAGGATAAGGTTTTAGGTATATTAACAGCCTAAAAAAACGCGACGCTGTTTTCAGAAAAGTATTTTTAGTGTTACCTATTATATTAAAAATATCAATATCACTAAAAAACATGAAATAAAAAACTTATAAAATATAACCGACTTCAAACTTTAAAAAGTGATAAATAATACTTATCTCAAAAGTAACTTATTAAAGTAATGTTATTGAAGGCGGGCGCCTATAAATAAATAATTAATAACTTACAGAAAACCTCCGCCCGACTCTTGAATAAGTCGCTTTTGAGATAAGTATTATTATTCACTTGTTTTTAGTTTGAAGTCAGTTATATATTTTTTTTATTAATAGCACTGTAATTGATCTAGTTTAATTAAGCTTATTACCTAATTTAGGACTGATCTAACTTAGCGGTGGCATAGAGGATAAGCGCCGCGGCACGCGATCGTTGTTTTTAAGTAACTTTCACAAGGGTCGGTCACGGGATGGGTGTCCAAAAAAATTATTATCTACTCCGTGATTCGGAAGGCACGTTAAGTCTTTGGTCCCGGTTGCATTTGTAGTCGCTAATATCCTCCTATCCACATTGGGCCAGCGTGGGGGGTTATGGTCCTTCCTCCTTAACCATTCATAAGGAAGACCTGACCCCTGCAGTGGGGACGTAACAGGGCAGATGATGATGATGATGATGAACTTAGCTGTGTTAAAGTTAAAGTTA